ACAATTTAAATGTGTGTTCTCAAGCATCTCAATAGTTTACAAAATGTAAAATTCAATATTTTCCTGTTTGCTAAAATAACATGCTTATTGTAGAATATTTGAGATATAAATTCAATCACTTAAGAAGATAAAAATCAATCATAATTCCAAACATTAACATTGTAATACACTAGTATCTAGTGCATATGTATTTGCATATATGAATTTGTAAATATATCTTTACAAACTTTGATCATCCTCTATTTTTTTCTAGCCAGCCTTTTTAAATATTAAATCATAAGTACTTTTCATGGCATTAATTACCTTCTAAAATATAGTCGTCAAAAATTTATATTTTTCCCTGTGCCCATTTTTCTATTCTTGAGTTATAAACTTTTTGCATTTATATGTCATAGAAAAATCATTTAGCTGTGAATCTTTTGAAGTATTATTTTTTGCTTTTTTGCCTTACCACCAAGTGAAAATCAAACTTTGTTATGGAAAGTTGTTAAACAAAGTAAGATGAAATTCATAAGAATCTTATAGTACATTATATCGAAAAGATAGTTCCATTAAGCAACTTACTTTCAAACATTATTGAAATTAATTAATAGCTGGGCTGAAATTTCAGTTAATCTATTTTCTATCTGGATGATCCTGAATAAACGAAACTCTGTAAGGTTCGGTTTACTCAGATATGAAATGTGCTAGTAATAATAATTATAAATAAAGAGAAAATTCTTTCTGTTGTAATCCAAACCATTAAAACCCTCGCTTACAATTTGACTGAAAGATTCTAAAGATCATTGGAAGAATAAACTCAAATAATTAAGAAAAATTAAACAATAAGGAAATCAGCCTTGGCTATAAGATACTGAAGTATACTAGAGAACTATAATAATTAAAATATTAGTAATACAATAACACCAGTAGAGCAAACATAATAATTAAAATATTACTGTTCCAGGATACACTGACCAATAGAACAGAAACCTAAAATGGACTAACGACAAGAAATAAAGATTAATGAAACAACTTTTCAAATTCATCAAAAAGGTGAGTTAATTAATAAACAGTATTGGGACAACTACACAAGACATTAACAAATTTCATGCCTGTTGTTTTTAAATGGGAAAAAAGGTGTTTTCAAGGATAAGAGAAAAGTAATGCTAGCTATCCTGGAACTGACACATATTAACTGAAAAAAGAAATACAAGTCTCAGTTTCCTCATGTGTGAAATGGGAGGCATGTTATGGATTTCATAAGATTAAAGGGAAGAAAGTCTATGTACATCACTTAGCATGGTTCCCAGCATACACTCAGTAAGTACTCAATAAACTTTAAATGTGTGTTGCTATTAATACTGTTATTGATGTTGTGGTCAACTACTGCTCTTGGGAGGATGAATTTTCATAACTTCGGAGGAGAATGATTTCATGTATGAAACAGAATCTTTAAAAAAATGCCCAATTTGAATAATTCTGCTTCTAGAAATTTTTGTTTAGGAAATAATTGATGATCCTTACAAAGATTGAGCAAGAATGTTCATTATAGCATCTTTTAAGATAGTGAAAAAGTTGGAGACAAATTAAATTTCATACACTAGTGTGTTAGTTAAGTAAATCATGGTATCCATACAATGGAATGCTATTTAGCCATCGAAAAACAGGCTGTAGGCAAAGGACTTCAAAAGCATATTTCCTAAGGTGTTCCAAGTTGCCACAGGAACCAGTTTTCTGGACATAAGGATGAGAGGGTAAAAGTCCCACCACTGCTTCCTAAAGAACATCTCCAATTGGTTGTTTCCTATATTTTTTTAATATATTGATCCTTGATGTTTTAATTTTTTTTAAGTCCTACTACTTTTAAAAATAGAAGAAATCCTTGCAGAAGTTGAAACTGTTCACAGACATGGATGAGTGCAAAAGTAGTTCATAATGTGCTCTAGAAATTGAAATGATATATTTAAAAATATTTTCACATATCTTTGGCTAAAACTAAATCTAGATCTAGATGGTATCTGTTAAGAATAAACTTGCTTACATAAGTACATTAAATTCTCAAAGATATAATCTCAAAGGAATAATAAGTAAGATTAAGTTAAGGTTTGCTACATTTATTAGAAAATAAATACAATATAAGTAAATTGGTCAAGAACCCTCAATTTCTGGGAGGGTCTATGGCTCTTTGTTTGTGAACTTTAAGGTTTTTGTCTCTTCTAAAAATAATTCACATTCCTCCTAAAAATCATTATTCATAAAAGCAAGCTGTTTTTTATGAAATGTAACCACTAAGTTTGATGCTTGCTTAAATGTTTAGTATAAAATATGTTGGTTCACTAAAAATTATGAACCGCATTTGTCATAGGATATTGACCTGTGAAATTTAATTCGTGGTCAATGGTGTTACTCACCTTGTTTTTAGACAACCTCACCAGTACCTATAAACTATGTAAATTCCCTGGCTAGCATAAAAAAATGGTCAATTTTAAGTCTAGATGTTCTTTCCTCATTGTGCAAATAAAATATTGTTTATATACCAAATTCATCTTTTAAAATGAAGTGAAATGGCATTTTTCATTGTATAATTCCATTTTTCTAGATTAATAGATCCATGACACATTGGAAGGATTTTATATCCAGTTCTTAATCATCATCAATTTTCAGGTGGTGGGGCTAGATTGTTTATATATTTTTCTGTTTGGCTTTCTCTAATTTTTCACATTGAATTTTCCCCCATTTTTGTTACAGAGAAGTCAATTAAACTATGAAATATTTTTCCTTACCTTTCAATACTTCCACTTTTCCAGTCTTTCCTTTATACTCTTTTTTAACATTTCTGATTCTGAAATAAAAAGGTGCTTAGTTAACCAACAGAAAAGTAAAAACAGTACAGATCATGAACAGCCCTATTTAAAGTGACAGGTGCAGTCAACTTCACGTGAAATAAGGGCTGGCATAACAGTCTACTCAAAAGGACCAAGACTTTCTTGTGATCAATCACTTCCCCTGAGGGAGAAAACTACGAGTCTCTTTAGAAAGTTACTATTAAATTACTAGTGTTTTGCTTAGACAAGTAGGATGCTGTATTGTTACCCTCACTTTCTTACTCCAGTCTTCGAACATCTGCTGTTTTGCTCTGTACAGGATGAGCTCATTCATCTGCACTCTTTAACCATCATCTCCCATCCCTTTTAGTCTTGCTCATTAACCAGACCTCTGTCACCTGCATTTTCCATAGTTTCCTCTCTGAGACCTTCTGTTTGAGTTCTAACTCTGCTTTAGATACAATCAAATTTCTCTCTTCCCCTTACCTTAAAAATTTTTTCAAAATAAAAGTGTAAATTTGCCATCAAAACTTCCTCACATCTCACTTCTTCCTCGGTCACTCTGGCTTCTGAAACCACTATCCTAGCAAATCTCTTCATACTGAAATCATTAGTGTCCTCCTAATTACCAAACGCAACAAATACTTTTCCATCCTTATTTATTGGATTGTGGGTCACTATTGAGGACTCTGTCTTTGTTGAAAGTGTCTATTTTCAAGATAACATTCAAGTTTATTGCCTTTTTCTTCCTACTTTTCAAAATGCTCTTTCTCTGTTTCCTTGTAGAGTCCTCTTCGTTCACCAGCCATGATCTTGGTGTTCCATGGGGCTTTCTCTATGTATATTATAGGTCTTCTCATTCTAGACTCTGTCAGTGGGTTATTTCATTGATTCTCATGGTTTCAACACCAACCCAACATTGACCTCACTCTCTTCCCTGAGCTTTAGGCTCACCATCTAAAGGTATGCTGTATTGCTTCATCCCAATATCTCTCTCTCTCTCTCTCTCTCTCTCTCACACACACACACACACACACCTCTAAATCAATGATTACCAAACCTGAATGCACTGGAATTTCAAAGGAAGCAGACACAGGACAAAGCAGGAAGCAGACTCAGACAGATTATAGATGTCTTGACTATGTATGATCACGACTTTCCTTTCCTGGCTTGTCAGTGGCCCCAGACCTCCACATTAGTGAAGAATCCAGACGAAGCAAAAGAGGTGCCCAGAATCAATGCAACATAGCTTTGGCAGGGCTGCAGGGTAAGGGCGACCGGGGCAGGTCGGTGAGGACATTTCACTTTTCTCTCCTTCACAGAAGTCAAAGAATAAGCATTTTTTGAACTATATAAGTAACCTTAAGACTTTCTTAGGAGACTGAATCTGAAACTTATTATAATTCGAATAGTAATACAATTTTTATATTTTGTGTTCTCAACTGGTAAAGAGGGAATGATGACACTGAATTTGGGGGGATTATTCATCACTTGGCTTTGCTCTTTTGGGTAGAAGCTTTCTATGGAGCTGGGGTTGGGAGGGGCTGTAGCTTAACAGACAATAGGGCAGAATTAGAAGTCTGCTGCTTAGGTACATAAGTTCACCCTATGCTCTTCGTCTTACAGGGAAATATTTTACTTCATAGCACTTCATAGCTACAGTTTCATTTTATTCACCTTCCTTTGCCTCCTGACAGCTTCTCAGTAAGAGTATAGATCCTGAAACCAGACTGGATTCCAGTATCAGTTCCTCTTTTACGAGTATGTGACACTGGGCAAGAGACAACGTCTCAGGACTTCACTTTTCTCATCTGTAAAATGGGAAAATAGAAGTATCTGCCTTGTAAGCTTTTTGTGAGAATTAAATGAGTGTCCAGTACATAGTAAGCACTAAGTGAATATCTGCTACATAAATGCTTAATGTTTAAAACTCTCTAATTCTTCAACTTGAATACACATTAGGAAAATCTACAGAGCTCTTTACAATCCACAGGTACTGGGGTTCAAGCCCACAGTCCTTGAATTAGAATCACTGGAGGTAGGGTGTGAGAGCCGAGAGATTTTTAAAGCTCCTCATATAAGTCTGTTACAAACAACTCTACAAAGTAGATGTTACTCTTGTTTCACAGAGGACACTGAGACTCAGAGAAACTTCTTCACTTGTTCAAGATTACACAACAAATGAGAGGGAAGGATGGTATTAACTGCTAAGAAATTCTGATTCCAAACTTCCTGCCTCTTCCACTTATACCATATAAGCCAGACAAAACCATGGAGGAAGGGATTCAGAGAAAGAAAAGAGCAGTAATAAAAGAGAGGTGGTGGACAAGAGACAGAAACAAGCGGGAGACAAGACAGAGAGTGATGCAGTAGCATTCTATCGAGCTGAGCAAAGGGAATTTCCCTTTCAAGTATCAGTAGGAGATGCTGATGGTGATGATAGTGAAAGACTTCAAAGTGATGCTCACAAAAACAAACTTCTTTTTCAATATTCTGCTTCAGGTTCACTCTGGTCTTGGTTAGTAATCCGTTCACCTCGCACCCATGTATTAGTACACATGCGGTTACCTGATGGCTTCTCTCCCTTGGAATTCTGGAGGAACTGGTTCAAAATAATCGTCAGAAGGGTGCTCAGGATCTATTTCTTTCTCGATGATTTTGTTACTAGTCCTTTGGTGTTGGAAACAAGATGACGAGCTCAGGAAAAATAATGGAGAGTAACGGCGCTCATTTCCATCTAATTAACCAAGAGGCAATACGATATTTGTTCAGTAACAAAAAACAATAATTGCAAAGAAGCCTTGCTCAGAACAGTGTAGAATATCTTGGACTCCCAAGCATCATAGAAAATATATTTGCTTTCTAACTTCCTATTATTGAGAAGAAAACTTGAGAGTGAAGAAAACAAGGAAAATGAAAAAGAAATAACATATTATTACTAAAGTTAAACAATATAATAGAAAATTTGATGAAGTATAAATCAAAGGTTGGAATAAAACTGTTCTAAAAGGTATTTGGAATAATGAATTAAATCAAATATTGGAGGGGGAAGACTTAATATGGCACGTAAAAATAATTTTAAATATGTTTGTGAACTTAAGAAATGACATGACCACAGCAATATGATTGAACATCATACTGAAATCTATATGGTACCTGAATAAAAAGTACATGAAGAAATTAATTTGTTTAGGATGAATATATGGTCATTCTCCAGATTTTAAGAAATGAAATCATATTTGTTATTAAAGGTCTTTGGATATTAACCAAAAGTGATAAAAAGACAGAAATACATACAAATAAATATATGGGAAATACAAGTCAGACAAATACAGTCAAAGTAGAAGGAACATAAAAAATAAGATAAATGAGACTGTGCAAGGAAAAAAAGGCATTCTGATTCCAATATGTGTGCAGGAAATCTAGGCTTTTCTGAAACTTTTGGTTGTTTTCAAGATACATAAAATCTAAATGGGCAATATACTTTGTAAATATGAGCACTAGATGAACAGTTTAATGCTGAAATCATCCTCTCCAATTTTCATTTGCTAGCTCCTTAAATGACAGACATCTCAAATGGTCCTCCCATAAACAGGAGCAGTGAGGAAAACACTGGTTATTTCCTATCTTAGGTCCTATCTAGCTGTGTTTAGTTTACAATCTACCCCCATTCTCGTAAAAATACTTATTAGGAAGCACTTCCACTGCACAATGGCTCTACACTAACCAAAACCATCTTAAGAACTAATTTATTTCCACTTGTTCTGATACAAATCCTAAATATCACCCTTTGAAAACACTTTCAGGGATCCTTGAAAAGAGTAACATTATTTAATACTATATTACATACATTATTGTATGTAATATTGTATTGTATTAATACTATATTACATACATTATTGTATGTTTATAATGTGTTTATAATAATTGTTCAGGAGAACAATTATTTTTATGTAATAACTCCTTCAGGCCATTAAAACTACTAAGTAGAGATAAAGAACTCATTCAACCTGTGATGGGAAATATTTCATTCTTCATTTCTTAAAATATATTTATATAACCTTAAGGGAAAAAAATCTTCAATGTGATCAGTATTTGTGGAGGTGAGAGGAAAACTCATTACTACTTACAGGGTAAGATTTTGTCCAAGTATAACGCCAACACCAAGTAGAAAAAAGCATCAAAAGCCAATATGGAAAAAGTTGCTATCATTATATACGAGCCTCCTGAAGCATCAGGAAAAATCATACCATACATATTATAATCCAGGCGGATAATCTAAGATTCAGACAAAAATAGTAATAAGTATTTAAATTAAATAAATAAAAATAATTCAATGTAGCAGCAAAAATGATCATTTTATTAAGCAGCTTTTCCAAGAAGCCTTCGTTATGAAGCTATTAGTGAAACTATTTCTATTTTACAGCCATCAAAGGAATATTAGAAGAAAATCTGCTTTTTTAAAAATACAATGTTTTAATAATAGGAATTTAAATTATAATTCCTTTGGTTCTTTCATAACGCCATTGCAATACTGCAAAATATCTACTTCATGCAACAAAGGAATACAAATTTTGGAAAGAATATGAAGGATTCTTCGAAGTTTCTTATTAGGATAATGATAAGAGAACTTATCTCTTCCTAGTTTTCACTGTAAGTAAAGATTTCTGTTTATAGTTTTGCCACGTAATAAGAGCTACCATGTTCTAGGCAGTGTTCTAAGTGATTTTTGTATGATTTCGCTTAATCTTCATCATAACCCTATGAGGTAGGACTTACTGTTTTCAATCTGTATTTACACATGATGAAACAGAGGCACAGAGAAGTTGAGTAGCTTAACTAGATGAAGTCAAAATTACATAGGAGTCACAAAGCTGTAATCAGAATACTGGAAACCCAGCTCCCAAGTCCAGTTCCTCACCCTAGACACTCCACAATTTTTCAATTTATGTTAAAATGTTAACAATTCATGACAACGTTGAGTTTATTCCAGGAATTCAAAGCTGGGTCGATATACGAAGATCAATCAATGTAATTCAACTCAAAGCAGACTGAAGCAGAAATAATGTAATTAATCTAATAGATGTAGAAAAAGCATTTGATAAAATGCAGTGCACACTTATAACAAAGAAAGTCTCTACAAACTAAGAAGATAAGAGGTCTTCCTTAATCTGGTGAATTTAGTGTAGGCAGATCAACACCAAAAATCATGCTTAATTGTGAAATGTTGAACTTTTTTAGTCTGCATTTCTATTCAACATAGTCCCAAAGGTTCTGATCTGTGCAGTAAGGCAAGCAAAATAAATAAATGACCTAAGGACTACAAAAGGAAAAAATAAATCATCATTAATTTTAAACAACAACATTATACATAAGGAAATCCCACAAAAAAAGCCCAGAAAAAGACTAGATTTAACAAAAAAAAATATAGCAAGAATACTGGATTCAACACCAATGTACAGAAATCAGCTGCACCTCTCTACATTAGCAACATTTACAAATAGGAATTTAAACATAAATGCTACTTTTAATGGCATCAAAAGTATCAAAAACTCTGGGATAAATCAAACAAAAATGCGCAGGATACTATACAGAAAACTAAAACGGTTATTAAAGGAAAATGTATGTGAAAATAAATTATGTTCTGACCAAAAAAAGGTGTCAGTTTTCGCACAAACTGACTGACAAATTCAACTGCACCAAAAATCTCAACAGCTTTGAGCCCGTGTACCGTGTACGTATATAACTTAAGTGAATTCTAAAATTTACATGATCTCAAAGAACCTAGAATAGAAAAGACTCTCTTACAAAAGAAAAAGTGGTAAACTTGTTTGTGCCAGATATCAAGACATATTATAAGGCAAAACAAAACCAGTGTGGCAACAGTGCCAGGATAGACAGACGCGTCAGTACATGATTGGTTCAGTTGTGACACAGGAAATACTGGAATTCACTTGGGGAAAGGATGGTTTTCAATAAATGGAACTGAAGCAACTGAATATGTAGAGAAATTAATACTGCCTCTACCTATAGATACACAAAAGTTATTTTGAAATGGATTTTATATCTAAATATAAAAGCTGAATCAATCCAGTTTTCAGAATAAAACACAGGAGACTATCTTTATAATCGTGGGGTATACGATGCTTTCTTAAAAATACAAAGCACTCTACATAAAAGCTTAACAAAATGGACTTTATCAATAAGAGCCTCTGGTCATTGAAAGCACCATTAGGGCACCAAGAGTAAAAATGACAGCAGCAAATAACTGAAAAATGCCTCACATCCAGCATGTGTGAGTACAAAGTCATAAGGAAAAGATAGAAAACTCATTTTAAAAGTGGGGAATCCGGACTTGGATAGGCAATTTATAAAACAGAAAATCTAAAAAGCTGTTAAGCTGCCATTTGCAGCAACATGGATCTTCCTAGAGAATGTCATTCTAAGTGAAGTGAGCCAGAAAGAGAGAGAAAAATACCATATGAGATCACTCATATGTGGAATCCAAAAAAAAAAAAAAAAGAACACAAATACAAAACAGAAACAGACTCATGGACAGAATACAAACTTGTGGTTGCCAAGGGGGCAGGGGGTGGGAAGGGACAGACTGGGATTTCAAAATTTGTAGATAGTGACAGGCATATGCAGAATAGATAAACAAGATTATACTGTAGAGCACAAGGAAATATATAGAAGACTTTGTGGTAGCTCACAGCGAAAAAAAATGTGACAATGAATATATGTATATTCATGTATAACTGAAAAATTGTGCTCTACACTGGAATTTGACACAACACTGTAAAATGTAATTAAATTAAAAAAATGTTAAAAATGAAAAAGATGAAAAATAAATAAATAACCCCCCCAAAAAAGCCATTAAGCATATGAAAAGGTATTCAACTTCATCAGTAAACAGGAAAATGCAAATTAACACCACAATGGCATAGCATGCCATAACCACCAGGATGGCTACAATTTCAAAGCCTAACAATACAAAATACTGGTGAAGATTTGGAGCAAATGAAACTCTGAAACACTGCTGGTGCAAAAGTAAAGAAATGCAATCAATAAGGAAAAATATTTGAAAGTAACTATGAAGATGAAGATACTCTAAATTATATTTAGGAACACATACGTAAGTGATAATTAAAAGCAAGGAGGTGATTATAAAACTTTTACCATTTAGGAGGAAGGAGTGTTTTGAAATACTTCTGGGGTTGTGTCCACATTCTATTTCTTGATCTAGTCGTGAGTACTTCAACTCACTTAAAGTTATTTGTTAAATTGTGAAATTATGTCTTGAAAGTTTTTCATATTTGACGGTTCGAGAAGCGGTTATGTAACCATTTTTAATGAACTAGCAGAATGTTTTCATTATGTGATGAAAAAGAAAGGTAGATATTTTCATATGGGAAAAAAATAAAGTACTTCAAAATGAAAATACATCTGAGACAGGAAAATCTAGAAGATTTTCCTCTTCAAGTTTCTTTGTGAGATGACAATTTTTCTACAGTGTAACAATAACATTTTCAAATCTAGCTTCGGAGTAGAATTGTTCAGAATAAAAGCTCTTAATTTAAAAGTATTGATTATGAAGATCATAAAGTGTCTAGTTCTTTTAAAAGCTCAATAATAAACCAATTAACTATGATCTTACCTGCTTAATTCCAGCAGTGAAGGCAAAGGGGCTACAAATACTGAAAATCCACTCCCAAGGTGAAGGAAGTTCTTCATAAAATGCAGTGATTCCCACACCTCCCCAGAAGAGAGTGAGGAGAAACACGACCAAACTGGTGAGGACAGTTTTCTTTAACAACACACTCATCAGGAATGCCAAAGCTATCTGAAAGAGAGAGATGACATCTAGCTGTTACACAGATTGAGTTCTCTGAGAGTCACTGGTAGTGTGATAAAATAAGGATCTTAATACCATAACATAAATATTTATAAGGGAGACAATGATGAACAATATTAAGGTATGATTACGCTCAGTCTTCTCTCCACCTCGTTGTAAAGAGAATCCTTATTTACCCTACTCATATGGTGGGCTTTTGTTGTTGAGGAAAGAGTGGGGGAAAAACTGCAGGGAGAGCTGAGGAACGATAGAAATGCAGGCTTGGAAGGACTGACAGAAACTAAATTAATGTATTGCCAAAGAGCAGAAAACACTCTGCAAAGTGGGAGAAATCAGAGGGTCTTGGTCAGAGAAGGAAGCGGTGGGTGACATGGGAAGTCAGAGCAAAATGCGATGTTAGAGGGAAAAGAGATGTGAAAAGCTACCACGTGACCAGGAACCTTTGGGGAAAAAAGATGAGTCCAGCCCTTAAAAACATCCATATGAATCATCTAGAAAAGCCTTGGATATTTTTAGCGTTAAAATAGTTTGTTTCTTTTTGATGCATTATTTCATTAATTCAGACCTTTATGCAAAAAGAAGTCCAATTTTATTTAAATTACATCATTTTCTCATAAAGACTTTCTCAAGCAAACACACACACCACAGGAAAGAAGCTGTTGTAGCAGCCTTCTGAGACATTACTTTTTGCAACACATGACTAAGACCTAAAGCGGAGAGAATGGCAATAAATGCATGAACTTACCAAAGATAAGCCATATATGAAAAACAGAGCAAATATAACCATGAAGCCCGTCATGACTATAATTTGGGTGGATGTTATGGTGAGTGCAATGACTACGGAAGTAATGAAGATGAAGCCTGCATACAGTAAACCCCAGGAGAGCCTAAACAAAGACAAAAATTATTTCAGTTATTTTAACTTTCCTCATAGAACATTTAAAACATAAAACACTACCTAAAGTATAATTCAGTGATTATCTTTGTACCTGCTACCTAGATAAACAACTAAAATGTTACTAATATTACACTGGCATGGCTGTGCTGGTGCCATGGCTAGGTATCAGCTCTGTATTCATACATCATACAAACAATATGAACATTGCATAAACAGTATACTCTTGTATATATTCTTCTGCAAATTGCCTTTATCAGCAACATATACAATATTATACACTGCTGTATAATATTTCATTGTATGAATAAAACAGTGTTCTCCTGCCCATGGACAATTAGGTGGTTTCCAATTTTTATTTCTAATGCAACGTTGCTAAGAATATTCTTGTACTTCTGTTTTTGAGGGGAGAGTATAAGAAAATTTCTCTAGGGTGAAATTGCTGAATTAAAGGGGATAAGCATTTTGCATGTTCAGCTTAACTATGTATTACATATTACCTAAGTGTTCTAATTACAGAATTAGAAGAAACTTAACAGCTGCTGATCAATCAAATACCTGTGGACTGGGGGCAGGTAATAATTTGACCACTCTTGAGGATCTCAGCCAGAAGCACCTCCACTCTTCCTAGCAGTAGAGAATTAAAATCCCATAACTGCACTGAGCCCATTCCATTCTTGCTATTCCTAGTCATGATTTCTTTATTTAAACTGGGCTGCACTATGGTACACCTGTAAGTGCTCACACTGTTCTGCTTTAAATGTGCTAGAGTTCACATTTTTATGAGGTGGTTATTAGAAATACCAGTCAATCTTAGATCTAACAAGCGTAGGGGTGTTTTAGCCCAGCTTCTCATTTTACAGATGAGTAAACTGCAGTTCCTATTACTAGGCAATGGGCCTACTCAGAGTCAACAAAGTACACCACCAACAAAGCTAATGCAGCAGCTGCAGCTTTTCGCTCAGTCCAGAGCTGTTTCCTCTGCATAAAACTGCCGAATTAGAATTCAACAGCTGAAGAAAACAGCAGAAGTATTAAAACTAGGAACTTGCATCAATATGTTTCCATAGAACATGTTTAATTATTGCTTATCTGACTTTTTAAATTTTTATGTAATTACAACTATTCAGATTCTTAGAACATCTGTGTTTTTGGAAAATAATACCACACTCTGCAGAATTCACTTCCTGGGCGCAAAAGGGAACTACCATACGTCAGAACTGGAAAACCATAGGATAGTGGAACTACAAACGAAGGAAATTCAACTATTACTTAGAAAAAGGAACTCACTGCCGGGAGCTGGGGGTGTGATGGGGAAGATAAAACCATGAGAACCTTCAGGATCAAAAGACAGCAATTCAGACACCACACTTGAATAAATACTGATTACATTTCACATTTATTGCATTAGTGAAAAAAAGGGGGGAGGTGCCAAAAAACGTATTTCCAGCAGACACTCTGCTCTTACAAGAACATTTCAGAATTCTTTTCCTTTTTAGTTTTAATGACTTATATTCATTTTGCTAAATTTCAGGTTAATGCATACTAAGAAGCATTTATCCTGAGAATGAACACATATCTAAATGTCCAGTGCCTTTCTGATTTTTATCTAGAGGTGGCTTGTGCCTACATGGTCTGAAGTGACTGACTGCAGGGACACTGTTCCACAGAACAAGCCTTGGTTGTTTTTACGTAGTTCCTCTCTTCCCTCCTGACAAACTTTATCCATTTCTTTGTAATTCCCAAGGCTCCACTGTTTTTTTTTCTTAATCTCAAGACTCAGTTCCTCTTTTTCTATTTCACAATTCAGGCATATTAGAATTAAAACTCTCTCTGTTAATAAAATATACTTTATAGAAAATTGTAAATTTCCTAGACCATAATTTTATTTCGGGGAACATGTGTCTTGCAATGGATTGTTTAATAAATAGTTCCTCGTCCATTCCAGATAGTACCACATCCATAAAGACAAGTGTCTTGACATGGAGAGTATATGGAGAAATATCTTCCAGGATTCAACATTAGAAAAATGCTAGTTTTCTTTCCAGGTAAAACAAACAGACTATTTTTCTTTTCTTTTCCTAGACAGTACAAGAATTCTCTGCCTCTTGGAAACTTAGAGCTTATATGATTTGCATATCTATCTGTTAATCTTACCCATTTATTAGTTTGCTAAATCTTTGTTTCTACTCCTCAATTATTTGTTTTTATTATAATACAAATATACACAGATACATATATACATACATAGTAAATATTTAAATATATGTTTATTTCAAAATCACTTTAAATTTAAATCATTTGTGGAATGGGGCAAGATATGATATAAATATATCAATATAAAATGCTCTTATTAAGTCTTTCCTATATGCCAGCCTATGTATTGCACATGCTGGTCACATTATATAGGCTATGTGAACTCCAACATATGGTATTTAGTTGCTCCAAAAAATATATCCCTGGTGATCAAATCTCTGAACGTAAGCTAGCTAATACAGGATCATACTTTTTCAATATGAGGAAGTATGGAGAAATCAAGTGATAACTATGGGCAGACCAAGCAGGAGAGCTGCAATCAAGGGACCTGGAGTGGAGTCCCCACTCTAGCACACAGCATCCATTTGACATTAGGTCACTCTTATTCTCTGTGATTTTAATGGTACCTCTATCACAGCATTAGCTTAACACACTTATGGTGCAGAAAAAATGCGCAACAAATTATAGTTGCTATTTTGCATAGCAAAGTTTAACAAAGACTGAATCAAAAAGTCAGAATAACAACAAAGTAGTCATCACAGCAAGTTTAAATCATGATGTTCTGAAACAGAAACACTTTTTTTACTGCTTTTGAATTTCTCTGTTTATTCGTTTGCACTACTTGAATCAGTCACTCACCAGAATGCTGAATCTTGTAGACCCATCATTTTCATCAAATCCTTATACTTTTTTCTCTCTTTTGTAACATTGAGTGATAAAAAATATATAAATGGGGAGAAGTAAACCAAGCAATAGAAAATAAACATCTCATTGTGAAGGTTCTCTTTAAAAATAAAGGGTAATGTCTTCATATTTATAGCAGTAACTGACATCAACTCCTCCATCACATAGTGATCTGTTGTGATCTAAAGAAAGGTTCAAACAAACAAAATCATTAAATTATAGAAACTGGTGAAATCTGAATAAGCTCTGAAGATCATACCAAAGTTCATTCCCCGGTTTTAATCCTGTTCTGTTGTTGTGCAAGATGTTAGTTTTACGAAAAACTAGATGAAGGGCACATGGACCTCCCTGTACATTGTTTTTGTAACTTTCTGACATTCTATAATTACTTAAAATTTTTAAGTTTTTTTTTTAAAAAGTAATGTGCTCCTTTGCCTAAATTTCAATTTCAGCATTTGGATGCCTACTTCATTATGTAAACATAATAAAACCTGAGTAGACACTATCTTTTGTCAAAACCTTGATGCCTCTGGAATTAGTTCACATTAATTATTAGAACTTTTCTTACTTGTATAATAGCAGCATTAATCGCAGTTTGCAAAGTCAGGAATCCGGTAGCCCAGTATTTGGCCAGTGAACATGAAAATTCATTAGCTATATCCCCACACTGAGCTATAAGCACAAAGAAAAGCATAATCAATATTATGGGATGAAGGCAACTGGAAAATAAGACACAAGAATCCAAGAGAAAAATATCTAGAGGATGCTCCACCAGGAAGAACTTCAACCACACAGAAAAAAAGAGGCAAATGAAAGTTCTTAATACAACAATTTTATTTGTGGAAAACATGGCATGCATAGAAAGTCTTAGAAAATAAAAGAAGATGAAAGCAAACACTCTGCTTGTACTACACTGGACTCCTTGCTGTGCCTCAAAACACCAAACACACTAGAGTACTAGCACTTTCTTCGTGTTCAAATGCTCTTCCTCCAGATGGATCTATGGCTTTCTCCTTCCCTCCATCCTGATCTCTTTTCACAAATAAACTCATCACAAAGGTCTTCCCTTGCCATCATAATTAAAAGCATCTCCCCTCTGGTTTAAGCCACCATCAGCTCACTAGTACTTTTCACTGCCTGACTCCTCTGCAATCCATTCTCTGGGCTATATCTAGAGTGCTCCCTTAGGCTTAGAAATCTAACCATGTCTCTGCCATGATTAAAGTACCTTGATGGCTCTCCATTGCCTTGGGTTTTCAAGACATCGCAGGATCTAGCCCTTGAGTAACTTCAACCTCATTCTTCCAGCATGTTCCTTTCTGTATGCTCTGTTCTGCTATACCGTACAGCTCTTCTTCCATATCTGCTAACAGATGCCCCTCTTCACCTCAGGGTCCCCCACACTGGCCCTTCTGCTATCTGAAATGCAATGCCCTCTGTACCTCACACATGCTATCCCTTCCAGTGTTCATTCAAATACCACTTCTCCAGGCAGGACTTCTCTAATCCCACAGTTCATTAGAAACCCCTCGTCTAAGACCCCAAGCACTTTTCCTTGCATTGGTCATTAACTATTTGTTCACTGGTTGCCTTTCCTGCTAAACTAGAATCTCACTTGAGGCTGGGACCTATCTGTCTTCATCAACCCTGCATCCTTTGAAAATGCACTTGTGAATTCACTGTATATCTGTTGGATGGCACAATGGTTGTTTAAGAGCATCCTTTAGTGGGAAGATATGATTGACCTTGGAATAAGTTCAGCAATGAAATGTTTATTTTCTCATGCCATCAAAAGTATCTCTGTTGCCCATCCCAACCTACTCCTTATGTTAAGAACATGAAAAATGCCATAATGATATTTCATATGGAAAGTCACCTGGGTAAAGATCTTCCTTCAAAATTGTAAGGCCATATCCCTGATAAAATTCTAACTTATAAGAGAAAGTGTCATTAAAGATGACTCCCACTGCATATGGGAAATCGTCTAGAAGCATTTTATCCATGTATTTTTGATTTGGTACCCCAGTGATTCTTCTTCCTGAGAATTGCAAGGTAAAAAATAGACACAGAGGACTGTTAGCATTTCACCAAAACAGAATACAACATCCAACTTTGTCATCACATATATTCCATTAGAATTAAACTAAAATTGCTTTCCCTTTAAACTAAACTTATCCCAAAAGGGAAAAAAAAGGAACTTTTTTTGTTTCAGATTTAAAATCAGGAGACATTCATGAGAATTGAGTGTTTTATTTTAATAACGACAAGTATTAAGGCAAGTTTTAGGTATAAAAAAATATGCCATGATAAATCTGTTAAGAGAATTAGGGTATAAAAATAGAGGTAATTGTAGTAGTTATTTTGCAGTCAGAGGACTCCAGATTTTAGATTTATTAAAGCAAAGGCACTTCATATGGAATTTATCTTATGCAGGAACCAAGATCACAAAGTGACTATTTTTAACAGCCACAATTTTACCTGTTAGAAATCAAGGATTAAAGAGTAAATAGTTAGACTGCACCCAACCTGTCCATGAGGGAAATATATATTTTGGTTTTATCAGTTAAAGGCCTCATTTAGAATGAAGACCTTTAAAAATGTTTATAAATTATATGATATGCAGACAGAAAATCTTAGATTATCTATCCTTACTTTTCATAGCTCTGAAATTATTGTTTTTATAACCATGACCTACTTTCTTTTATTTATATGGTTTTCCTGTGTTGTAAATCTTAATCATTATATTTCCCTGTTAAAAATGCCCACAGCCACCAGTGGCATATTCCTAGACAATATGCTGCAAATCTGAAATTATAAATATTGTTTTAGTTAAACTTCAATAGAAATGTAGGCTTCCCTAAGTTGGAACCCCATCAAGCTAAAAGGGCTTAAAAGGCTAATTGTCATGAGAGAAAGAAAAAGCTAACTAAATTTGTATGCTATGTTAATGCCTAGATAATCAGCACAATGGCTAGCTATAACTTCAAATTAAACATGTATACATTTTATCAAAAATATATAAAATACAATCACTAATACTTTTTTGCCATTAGCACACCTACCTCTCAAAAAGGGAGCAAATGCCGTTTTATTCATAATCTGCTGGGTTATATTAGAGATCGGTGTATATATAAGGTTCATAGAAGAGCTATTAAATTTATCTACCCTTCCCAGATCCTGGGAAGGTATTTCAGGAAAATGCACATTTTCTTTGAAAAATAAAAATGTGCCCATATAAAGTCCTACAAGTATTGGGAACCCCCATTCCTATAGAAAAAGAGAACAAAGTTAGGTTGTATTCCCTTAAAGAGCTCAGTCAACACCAAAGAACTATTAAAGACAAATTCCAGTTTTGCCGTATGGTTGGCTTCTCTGTGCTCTCTACTCTTCAGAGCAAAGGAAGCCAATGAAAGATACACACTGAGATAGTTGTCGCATATGTCATTCTCTAATATTATAACTAACCTTTTGTACTAAATCATGAACTACTGCAGAAGCCGTAAAAGAAACTAACAGTCTGAGAATCTCTGTATGCATGGGCATCTGACTCCAGGGTCTATAAGACATAGAGTATCCCAGATAGAGCTCATGGTGGCAAATAGCAACATTTTTGTCAGTGATTATATCTTTGTATTGGAAGTCTAAGAAAATGAGAAGGCACTGAATGGTAGAGGTCTAGTGGTTCACAAATATTAGTAATATATTCCTGCTTGGCACAATGCTAGACTACATTCTGAGCCTCCAGAAATTAACTGGGACCAAATGCTTGTGTTCTGGCTAATGGGATGTGGGGAGAAATGATATGCACCGTTTCCAGGCCTGGCTAAAGGAACCCTGTGAAACCTTCCATATTCTCTCTATCTCAGTCTTTCTACTTCCTGATCTGGCTGGATGCAGAGGATCCAAAGATTGTCCCCAAAGTCTAGTGAGATGACATAGTCTCTACATGAAGGAGCCTGGGTTCCTCAATGACTATATGGAGAAGATTCCTCCACCTACCCAATCCACGTCACTTTTACCGCCAACCTTACTTAGACAGTGAAGAATGAAAAATAAATGGCTGTTCTATGTTAAGCCATTGAGACTAGTGGCTTTAATACAAGCTGACAATCAGTGGTGTTGCTTGGTCATTATTCTTGGAAATAATCTCTGTGCAAAAAATGTATGGCCTTGATAATAAATTTCCCAAATTAAAATTCCTCTATTTCTGCCAGACACTATTTTTAATAGTTCTTGACTCCACTGCCCATGATAGTAGCTTTAATAGTTGCTACAACATACCATATAATTAAATTTTCAGTTACTCTCCTTTTTACAAAAATATGAGTACTACTTTGTCTTTGCAATTCTACATTATTTTTTCAAAGATTGCTGTGAATCTCTCAATTCAACAAGCATAGCTAGAGACAAATTCAAAATCAATAAATGCAGTCTTCTACTTAAAATATAAAATAAGAGAATCATTAGGCAATGAAATAAAAACATACTGCTAACTATGGAAAGAGGCAAACTTTTGAACATACCAATGAGCTCTCTCTTTTCATCCTCCATTTCTTAAGAAAATTCTTGCACAAAAGTGCTTGAGTTTGTTGATACACAGTTTTCTGCTTCATATGCATTTAGCCTGTTAGTTAAACAAAGACAAAGTAAACATGTGGGAGCATAAGCTAGCAATAAGAAAAAACCTGATCATATTTTGAGGAAAGATTGGGAGTTCAAGATTTACAGATACTAACTACTATATACAATAGATAAACAACAAGTTTATACTGTAGAGCACAGGGAACTATATTCAATACCTTGTAGTAACCTCTAATGAAAAAAATATGAAAATAAATATATGTATGTATGTGTATGACCGTAATATGCTGTACACCATAAACTGACTGTACATGAACATTATAAAATGACTATACTTCAACTTTGAAAAAGAAATACAAAGAGAACTGCAAAAAATGGATTTAAAATATTATTTTAGTAATCATGATTGTAAAATTTTACATCAGATATACTCACTGTGAGCTATCTGGGAGATAAGTAATGCTGGGGAAGTAGAGTGAACTATTATCACAGTTTTACAATAAGAGTTTTACAATGGGAAAGATATAATTACAGAACCTGTAATATATTTCTCATTTTTGACATTTTATAAGAGGAATTCAACTACATAAATAGAGTAATTGAATTATATCTCATATAGTTAATAATAATTTTTGTTCTTTACACTTAAATAGAAATCCCAGAGCAAATCAAATTAACATAAAAATTCTGATCACTTAATTTTATCTAAGTAATCAATTATGTCCATTAGAAGCAATCTCAATGAAGTATTTTCTTTTGATATGTACCTTCCAGATTGAATTGAACAACTTTTATCAAAAAAGTTAGGCCATAGGATAACAATCCAGACTCAAACGACTTGAAACTTGATTCTAATACACAGAAAGAATGAAGCAATTTATATGAGTTTTCTGAATTCAGAAGTCCCTGAATAACTGAGGAAACAAACTGCAAATAGAGAGAAAGAAAGAAAGAAAGAAAGAAAGAAAGAAAGAAAGATCACATGGGAAAGTAATTTTGCCCAAATGTTTGCAAATAAACAGACAATTTTTTCAGTTTTTATCATCGCAAAATTAAATTCTTTTAGATTTGAATATCAAAATCTTCAGACAATTCTCCCTCAGCTAGTACAGAAGCAAATTTTACTATTTTCCGATATTCTGTTGTTGTATCTACACAATAAAAGTTGGTTGGGAAAAAGCAGAAACATTTTGTCATTAGGTCTTCAATACAAAACATAAAAGTATTTGGAAACATCTGAAAAATAGATTGATCTTAGCAGTGTCCACCCACATATTTGGCATAGCACAACAAAACAGAGCTTTACTTACTGTTAGGAAAATGAGGGGGGAAAAGCACTCTGGAAACACTGTCAAAGCACAATTCTTTTGTATAAGGCAACAAATTAAAATTTCTTTATTACCACTTCCTAATTTATTCCTTAAAAGAACACTTACTCTCAACAGTTCTTACCCAGGCTAGTTTCTGAGAAGGGGCGTAGCCAGACCAAGCTGCACATGATGAACTTGTTTTGTTTTCTGTCTTTTCTTCCCTGAGCCAATTATTCTGCAGGAAAATGACTGCTCCGTGGCTGATTGGGAATAAAACAAACCCTGTGTTTGTTCACTTGGCCTTTCAACTCCAGGGATAAGAGGGGAAATAGTAAACAAGGAAAATGGAACTAGCCCTTCAGACATGATGAGACCAAGATGGGGAAAGGGCAATAAATGAGTAACTAACCAAACAAAGCAGTTAAATTTGCACGAGAAATCTTTAACTATGTATTTTTTTCCACTGCAAATGCCTAAACACAACTGCCATTGAGATATCTGAGTAACTTAGACACACTCTAGAATGTGCTGGAGCTGAACTTTTTTGGCCTAACAAAAGCTAAGTAATCAATAGTCTGCCTCGGAGAAACACCTAAATTGGACAAGTAAAGAATTATGAAAAAATTCCTTTCTCCTGCTCCATGCATTGTGGATGCAGGATTTCATAAGGCATTTGAACAAAATAAAAGTAAGCGAATTATAAGGACTAAAAAAACGTTGAAAAAGATTCAAGTCAATTTTTATATGGGAACACTAGGGAAAAAACTGAAATGTATTCAATTCCCACTGCATCATCTATCTCTGTAAAGAGTTACGAATTTTTCGTGACCTGCCAAAGTAAATCACTAAACAAGAAACCAAAGTCCATGAATTGGGAAATCTCAAATATTTGACATGGCTCCCAATACACACATGTTAATAATCATAAAGCTGAGACATGTTCTGAAGAAAAGAGTATAATTAAAGAGAAAAAACTTTAACACCATGATATTTTGTATATACAGTTCTCTCTTTGGTAATTAGTTCTGTTTTTTAAAACAGTCAACAGTGAAATAGGACATGTCTTTACATTAAAATTGGAAAAAAAATAAAAAGTAATAAAGATGTCCTAAGTGTCTTATGGAGCAGGGTGGAAGGTCATAAACATTGTTAAAATTTTGTATTAATGAAAGGTCAATGATCTAAACAAAAGTTCTAAGTTTCTTTTAAATCACCTGAAATACGATTCAGGTTTTTATTAATTTTATTCTCACAGTTGTTTTAGACCCTGTATACTGTATTTTAGGAATAATTTTCACTCTGCCTTTCCTACAATTACATTAAGAGTCACAACTACAATATCAATAATTAATTAGATTAAACATATCTTACTAGTTCTACTTCTTACTGTTATTCCTTGCATCTTCTTTGTATTCCTCTTCCGTACTTTATTCTGATTTGGTCATTTTTCTTGTTTAAACATGAGGAAACAAGAGGATTTCCCCACAAATATGACCTAATGTGGTGAGTAAATGGCCAACCTCCAGCTAGAAGCACATCAGAACAGTGGGTAAAATGTATCTAACACAGATGTTTAGCTGCAAAACCGAACTTAAAGAGGAAGATGAAAACAATAAAGAATCACACAAATGAACTTAGTCACAAAACAGAAACAGACTCACAGATGTAGAAAACAAACTTATGGTTACTGATAGGAAAAGAGATGGGAAGGGATAAATTGGGAGTTCAAGTTTTGCAAATATTAACTACTGTATATACAATAGGTAAACAACAAGTTTACACTGTACAGCACAGGAAACTATATTCAATACCTAATAGTAATCTATAATGAAAAATTATGAAAATGAATGTATGTATGTATATGTATGACTGAAACATTATGCTGTACACCAGGAAAAAAAAACAATCAATACAAGAGATAAAGAGAAATGAAAGCACGTTCCCAGGTGTTAAAAATAAAAATGGAAATTAAAGTCAAAATTGTGAATGCTATGTTAGAAATACAGCAGTCCAAAGAGGTGTTTCAATACCCGTGACCTGGATTTGATCCTTGGCGAGGTATAAAGCCAAACTTCATATCTGTGCATGAATCCAGAAGTGCCACAGTACTATTCAGTGCTGGAAATAGAGACTAGAAAAACTCTACCTACTACCCCAAGGAAAATTAAGAATACGTGGTCTTTGCCCAACCTCTGGCTTGAAAAAAAAATTCTCCACAGAAAATGAAAATCCCAACTATACATAGCACAAGGCAGGTACAGGACACAGGAGAGGAATCTGAATTTATTCTCCCCACACAGCAATGTGTCTAAGAAATGTCATAGCACTTAGCATTATGCGCTCTGGAACCAAATTGAGGTTCTAATTCTGGCTCTGCTATAGTTTTGTGACCTTGCATAATCTATTTAACCTCCCCGCCCCTCAGTTTTTTAATCAGTAAAAATGGAGATAACAGGTGTGTCTGTGTGTATGTATGTGTTATAGTACACTGTTATACTGCTAATATTACATATATAGTTATTGGGGGTATCAGGTTCATTAAAATAAAGTTTATAGATGTGGAGATTGCTCAAAAGACTAGG